AAGGGCTTTTCTCATAGGCCTTATAAAGTCAAACTTAATTCCTTAACGCAGTCTGGAAATGCTATTCCAGCCAAAACCTTGTTCATGTTAGGCCCGCAACTAACCTGGCTACATGGGATTTTGCCTCAGTTTCTTAAGTATGCCTGCACAAAGTCTTTTCACTGCTCGTGGCTTTTTTGGCCAGAGGCATATAGGCGTTTCACCTATAATCTACAATATCCTTTTCATTGGCTATAGTGTATATATAGTAGACCCTCCATGTCTAACTCCTCCCTACATTGACCACCTCCTTAAGATGACCTAATTTTTTTTTTGAGACAGAATTTTAGTATATTGCCCTTGGTAGAGTACCGTGGTGTCACAGCTCACAGCAACCTTCAGCTCTTGGGCTCAAGTGTTTCTCTTGCCTCAGCATCCCTAGTAACTGGGACTACAAGTGCCCACCACAACACATGGCTGTCTTTTTTTGTTTAGCAGGCCCCAGCTGGCTTTGAACCCCCCAGCCCCTGTGTTTGTGCCTGGCTCCCTGACCAGTGAGCTACCAGCACCGAGCCATGTTGACCTAATTTTAATAGATGGAGCATGTACTGCATGTACTCCATGGGAGACTTAGCTCTGTATATTGACCACTCTCTAAGTTGTATCTTGACCACTTGGACTGTGACACATAATATTAATTTACCCTCTATACTTTGAAGAGTTAAGTCCACTTTATAGCAAAGGTAGAAAATGTGGGCTTTCCCCCTTCGTTGTATTATTTTTTCTTTAGTATAAGTTCTTTCTTCATGTTTTATTAATACTACATGTTGGATTAAGCCTAACTTAACATCCTGTAGTTAATCATGTGTCATAGAAGAAATACCACATGTTGGATTAAGCCTAACTTAACATTCTATAGTTTATCAAGGTCAATTGTAGATACATCCTATCATTCCTAAAAAATTTTACAGTTAATTGAGACATTATTGCCTAAAAGAAAGAATTCAGAAAGCTGACATTGAAGGAAAAGGATGATCTTCTACATTTTCTGGATAGCAGCAGCCAAAGAAAGACAATGGAACATTTTGGTGTTAGTGAGATCACAATAACATCCAAAAATGTGAACACAGGTGCTTGGAGAGATATGGTAAGGAAAGCTGAGACCTATAGGAGAAAAGGAGGAAAACTTCCTTCCATGAAGGAATGAAGCCTCATTAAGCTGGTTCAAACCAATGACGGCAGGGGATCCAAGAAGTTATTAAAAAATTCATACAGAAAGTGGGGTGGCAGATTTCCAAGCATCAAGTGGTTGACTTGAGAAATTAAAACTGTAACTTGATAGCCCCCCAAAAATCTTACGTGGTGAATCCAATAAAGTTCCCAGTAGAAGTTGTGGAAGAGTTCATCAGAAAGTTCCCAGACTTCACCAAAAGCTTTAAAAATGGTGACACCTTTAACATTGACAAGTGTGGACTCTTTTTTTTTTTTTTTTGAGACAGAGCCTCAAGCTGTCCCCCTGGGCAGAGTGCAGTGGCATTACAGCTCACAGCAACCTCCAACTCCTGGGCTCAAGCGAGTCTCCTGCCTCAGCCTCCCAAGTAGCTGGGACCATAGGTGCCCGCCACAACGCCTGGCTATTTTTTGGTTGTAGCCATGATTGTTGTTTGGTGGGCCTGGGCTGGATTCGAACCCACCACCTTAGGGTATAAAGTCACCTTAGGTATATGTGGCTGGCGCCTTAGTGCTTGAACAGGCGTCGAGCGAAATGTGGACTCTTTTTCAAGGTACTGCCTAACATGAACCTCATCATGAAAGGTGACAAATGTAAGAGCAGAAGACTTTACAAAGAGTGTTTTCACAGTTCTGCTTTGTGGTAGCTCAATTGGAGAGAAACTAAAGCCCGTGGTGACTGGTAAATTGGTAAAACCATGTGCATTTGAGAACCTAAATCCCCAAGTGCATGAAACAGCTGGTGAAGTGGAAAAAGCAAGTAAGGTTGACACAGAATTGTAGAGACTACAAAAGAAGAGGATGTCAGGGATCTAATAATGCAGTTGAAGTCATTTGCTGTGGAAGAATGCCCAGGTATGCTGAGTGGTGTAGCCAGCGTTGAGAGTACTTTTTCTGCTTGTGATTGTAATAAGAATACACATAAGAAACTGACCAAGATTGACTCTTTTGAATGAATGATTAGCCAGGCGCGGTGGCTCACGCCTATAATCCTAGCACTGTGGGAGGCTGAGGAGGGAGAACTGCTTGAGCTCAGGAGTTTGAGACTTGCCTGAGTGAGAGTGAGACCTTGACTTCTAAGAAAAAAAAAAAAAAAGGAAAAACCTAGCTGGGCTCCACGGCTGCAAGTGCCAGTAATCCCAGTGGCTTCCGGAGGCTGAGGCAGCAGGATGCCGACGCCCGAGTCTGAGGTTGCAGTGAGCTATGATGACATCGCACTCTGCTCAGGGCATAGGGTGGGACTCTGTCTCAACAACAACAAAAAAGCAAAAAAATAAAAATAAAAAAGAAAGAATGATTGAGAGAAAACAGTAAATTTATTTTGTATGATACTGTATATATGATTTTACTGTTTTTTGTTGTATATAATTTTGTATGATAGTCTCTAATAAAAGCTCTACAAGAA